GGAATTTAGTTGAAGATTTAGCATCCTAGACTACGGAGTACAGCTCGGGAATACTGAGATGAGTAGCCTGTACTGCTTAATAGCACTGGTAGTGTAGGTCTTAACAGTCAAGAAGCCACCTTGAAGCTTGTACAGATCCTGGAATCAACAGCACTGCTGCATATAAGTTCTAAGTTGATCGACCCAATTTTGTATTATGTCACAACTCTCAACAAAGATTGATTCATCGGTCTCAATCAACCGACTTTGGATCGTATCATGCAATGCCAATAAATGTTGGGGCTGTTCTTCAGGGTAGCTTCGCATCCCCTACTGCCTTCCACCGTACTCGTATTCCTCGCCACGACAGATTTCATTGAACCTTGCGCTACAGATGAATCGATGTGGCGATCATGTGCCAATCATCAAGCAACTCAAAGGGGAAACCGAACGATTTCCAATATCGATCCACGCCGATAGTTCTGCTTAGAAGCCTTATCCAAGGCTGCAACCAGATGCTTGCAAATACCCGCGCTGTGATTGGCTAATCGCTACGCCACATGCCCTGAGCCAATGGGCATCGCCGCAATCTGACCCAAATCGAGTGTCATCAGCCCAGCGGCGTCAAGGCTGAGTGGACCAAGCATCAGGTACAAAAGACGTCACTGTCCGGCTTCTAAGCTGGACATCCTGATCAAGCAAGCATCTGCATCTTTCTACTCCGTATTCACAGTTCATCTACAAGACTTTTAATGATTCTTCCAACCGTTCTTCATCAACCAAACACAACCGTCAAAATGACTGCTACCAAGGCCTCTACTTGCTGCCGTCAGGGCACCGACGCCGAGTGTGCTTGTGGTAAGTTGGAATACACACCAATCAACTCTCAGCTACATCAGATCTAACAGAAGTCCCAATAGCTCAAAAGGCCACCTGCTCCTGCGGCAAGGAATCCGCTCTTCACTGCTCGTGCGGCAAAGCCACCGCCGAGAATGCTGTCGAGGGCCCGCGCTGCTCGTGCCGTGCTCGTCCCGCCGGCCAGTGCACCTGCGACCGCGCCTCTACAGAGAATGCGCCCGTGACAGGCTCAACCTGCCAGTGCGGTGCTCGACCAGCTGGTAAGTGTTCATATATCGGAAGTGGAAGAGTTGGACTTGTGTTGACTTGTGACGATCTAGCTGCTTGCACTTGCGAAAAGGCCACCGATGGCGGCTACAACCCTGCCAACGAAATCGACTTTACCAACTTTGCCAAATAAAGATCGAGCCATCTGCTGAGAGGTGCTTAATTGCTCCTCTCCCTTCTTTAAATCATCATCTTTTTTTAATATCCTCATTTGAGACTGCGGTCAAGGGTGGCGTTCAGGGCGGACAACGGAATGCAGGACTACTGCTGGTTTATTACACTATTTTGACTTGGCTGCACGCTTGCAGCGATGGGGCTGCATGTTGCATGTTGCATGCACTTATACGAACGAGTTGCACATAGAATTTGGCAGGGCGGCCATCGCCTAAAGTGCGGGTGCTTTACTATATCGGGCTTGGGCCGTGCCATTTGTTATTGTTGACATGCACAACACATTGGGACTGGCGTTGTGTGGCACCATGTCCTCCCTCTGGAGGCATTGTATACTATCTAGCGTAATGAAATGAATACAATCAAAAACAATTTAAAGCAAAACAAAGAAAAACACAAACAAAGAAGACGATGAACTCAATCTGAACGTGCTAGCCTCGATTAGGCACAGACTGCGTCTCCTTGCTGAGCAACAAGTGAGAAGCGCTGAATCAATCTCATTCAAAAGTCAGCACATCAGGTCACACACGGGCTATTTGCTGGTATTATGTAATTTCGGGCTGCGATTCACCGCCCGCGCGAGGCGTCAAACACGCCGCTCATTGGCCGCCGCCAATTTAACTGCCGGACAAATCAAGAGCGGTCAGCCCTTTTGAGCTGTAGCTCTGGTAAAGTTCCTACCTTGTGTGGAGCCACTTCTCTGTGCCACCCACCAGGGCTGGGCAAAAAATCTCACCTGGTCGCGTCCTGCCATCGTCGAGCCACTCCTATAAAACTACCACAGACCACCTCGCAGCGTGCGCTCCATCTCTTCATCACCATCAGAATAGAGTAGAATCTGATTTGGGGTCCTTTGCAAGCGCAGCATCGCATTTATCACAGCAATTGAAGCTTCCTTCGCGCTTCCGCGAGCACAACGCCCGATCCCGTCTCTTTCCCCCTTCGCTTATCAAGCAGACCCCAAAGCTATCCATATATCAAACCAGCGCGTCGCGATGCCTCCCAAGGTCGCAAAGCCCGCTGCCTCCAAGGCGGCTTCAGATGCCAAGAAGCCTGCCGCGACCAAGGCCAGCGCAAAGGCGACATCCAAGACCGCCGCTACCACCAAGGCGACAACAACCAAAGCCGCCAAGAAGGATGAGAAGCCAGCCAAGGCCAGCGCAAAGGCCGTCGTCAAGGGCAAGACTGAAGAAAAGACTGAAGAGGAGAAGCCCGTGACAAATGGCGCCCCCGCCGTCAAGCGAAAGGCTTCAGAGACGGAGGACGAGCAGGAAGACGTCGTCATGGAAGAGCCCCAGCCCAAGAAGAGCAAGACTGACAAGGAGCCACGCGCCGCACCGGCCAAGGCCAAGAAGCCCTCTTTCCCCGAGATTGGAAAGAAGATCAACGACGCTCCCACGCAAGTTCTGGACATTTACGTCTTTGGCGAAGGTACTTCAGGCGAGCTCGGACTGGGAAGCAAGCGCATCAACGGCAAGAAGCCCATCGATGTGAAGCGTCCTCGACTCAACGACAACCTTTCGGCCAAAACAGTCGGAGTTGTACAGATTGCATGCGGCGGTATGCATGTCGTTGCGCTTACTCGCGACAACAAGATTCTCACTTGGGGCGTCAACGACCAGGGCGCTCTGGGCCGAGACACAAACTGGGATGGTGGATTGCGGGACCTCGACAAGGCTGACGACTCCGACTCGGAGGATGAAGACGACACCGGCATCAACCCCAAGGAAAGCACGCCGACTGCCCTGTCTGAGGAGGACTTTGCCCCCGGCACCAAGTTTGTTCAGGTCGTTGCTAGTGACAGCGCCTCCTTTGTGCTTACGGAAGACGGACGTGTCTATGGATGGGGTACCTTCCGATCCAGCGATGGTATTCTGGGCTTCACGGAACACGTCAGGGTTCAGACGCGACCTACTCTCGTTGCTGGCCTGAAGAACATCAAGGCTCTCGCTGCCGGAGCCAACCACATCCTCGCGCTCGACACCAAGAACAACGTCGTGGCCTGGGGATGCGGCCAGCAGAACCAGCTCGGCCGACGCATCATTGAGCGCAACAAGATGTCTTCTCTGATTCCCCAAGGCGTTGGCCTGCCTCGAGGCAAGATTGCCAAGATTGCCTGCGGCTCGTACCACAGCTTCGCCATTGATAACAAGGGAGCCGTCTGGGGCTGGGGCTTGAACAACTTTGGCGAGATTGGTGTTGAGAGCAACGCCGGTGAGGACGATGCCGTCATCCTCAAGCCCGTCAAGATCACCTTCCTCGCCGACCACACCGTCACGGATATTGAGGGCGGTATCCATCACTCTCTGGCATGCACCGAAAAGGGAGAGCTGTTTGCTTGGGGCCGTGTGGACGGTTACCAGGTTGGCTTTGAGCTCGAGGCTATTGAAAAGGTCGACAAGGAGTACGTCATCCGGGACGAGAGAGGCACTGCCAGAATCCTCATCAAGCCCACCAAGCACGAAGGCAAGTAGATGTCCCATTATGATAAAGCTATGATTTTATGCTAACCAGCTCACAGGTATCTCTGACATCGTGTCGGTTGCTGCCGGTACCGACAACAGCTTTGCCATTAGCAAGGACGGCAAGGCCTACTCCTGGGGCTTTTCGAGCAACTACCAGACTGGCCAGGGCACTATTGACGACATCCATGTCCCTACCTTTATCGACAACACTGCCACCAGAGACAAGAAGATTATTGCCGCCGGCGCTGGTGGACAGTTCTCTGTCCTCATTGGCTTGGCCGAAGACGTGCCCACTACCAACGGCGAGGTGAATGGTGCTCACTAAATCATCAACTCTCGGCAATCAAATTACAAAGCCAACAAAAAAAAAAAAAAGGCGCGATGACAGACATTTGAGGTGATATTTGATATCATGCTTCAAGCTATATAAGCCTGCTATCCAGGGTCAGGAAGATCCAGGGCTACTCCACTCGAAGGGTTATTTCCTTCTCTTTTTTTTTTCCGCATGCATTTGTTTTCCATCGCCTCGTCACAGAGAGGTCGGGGAAAAACTGACGGACGGGGCTCTCTGTAACCTAATGACGTGATGGACTTGTTTCTGGCGAGTGGTGAACTTTTTCTCTATATATAGATCATTTTGCATTGTATAGCCGTACTTATGACATTGCTTTGTTTAGGCGTTGTGGTTATTGATTCTCATTGAGCTTCTCTCTCATAATAATATAGTGCTCATTCTTTCGAAAAGACTTTGTGATGTCGGTGCAGGTTAGGTGCCTCTTATATCGTCTTGACTAACGACGTGACGTTGCTATAAGCTGCGATGGCCATCTTTTACACGGCCCTGGTAGTTTATACTGCTCTACGCTTTAGCTTACCCAGCTGCTGGTTCATATTTCCTGGCAGTATCTTGCGGAAGCAGCAATACGCAGCGTCAACTACTCGTACTAGTGTGTTGGTAGAACCATCACGACACTTATCAAACAATAGACAAACACGGACAAAGTACTCCGTAGGTAGGTAGTCACCCAAACCCCCGGCACTGCTAGTTCCCAAACCCGGCTTTTCAAACCGAAAATACTCCAACCGAAGCAGCATTGATTGGATTGATTCCATGTTGCATGCCAGGGGTTTTCTACCAGAAGCAAGGCAAAAACGTGCAACAAAATAGCGCCAAAAGCTACCGAAGTAGCGAGATTACAGAGAATTAAAAAGGCTCCAAGGGGGACCGGCACGGAGCACAAAGTACGGAAGGGCCATGGTATTGAAAACGGGGCTGGAATATTTGTTCCCCTTGCTGAGAGATCTGGATCTCAGCCCACGATGTGGTTTTTTGGGGGTCGATAAGCTTTTTTTGGGCGAAGGAGGAAAGGGAAAGGGGGGGCACATCGATGGGCGTGGGTGTTGTGATGGGTTGGAAGGGCCTTGACCGCTTGGGGGGCGTGGGTTCGTGCAACTTTGACCGCTTGGCAGTGACAATCTCGCTGGTGTGCTCGATTTGATGCTATGGGTATCTTGGTTGGTGGTGGTATCTTTGCAGGGGATGAGGATGTTGGAGCATCGTGGGGGTAATTGTGATATGGGAGCAACAGGCGCGAATATGGCGGTAAACAGTTCTTGTCAGGAGTATCTCGGCAGACATGTGAGGTGGCAATTCAAAAGTATTCCCTCGCCTACTGTTCGGAGAAGAACACACATCGGATTTCACATCTTGAAGAGAGGAGAGAGAGACTGGAGAGAAAGAAATTGGCCCCCCTCCCAGCACACTCACACTCACACCGCTGCCCAAGAGCGCCAGCCGAAGCCCGAGAAGCATGGAGAAAGGAAGCAGCAAGCGGTGGAGTATATCGAAGCGAGACGAGCGTGTTCCAGATTCCAGAAGCTCCAAAGCTTACATGGGGACATACCGGGGGGAGCACATTTTGCGGGCGATGGAGTCCAGTGAGAGGGAAAAAAAAAAGAAAAAGGACGCTTGATTACGGCCGAAGTCCCCGGCTCACGGCAAGGGGAGAGAAGACCAGACCCCAAGATGCGGGCTAGACCGCGGTGGTACCTGAAGCAGCAGCAAATTACGGGTGCGACTGCGAGTACATGTACCTTAACTCGGTGCCCTTTTTTTAGCACGGAAAAAGCCAAGAGGAGTCTAGAAGAAGCAGCCGAGATTGGGGGGACTGGGTTCTGCGAGCAATGCGGTGGCTCCGGCTGCTACGGAAGGAGAAAAAAGAAAAATAAGAGCACGAGTTGGATGGAAGCATCCATGAACCTTGGAAGATGAGCATGGGAAGGGATATGGATGTGCTGTACCTGCAGCGATCCAGGGGCTGGATGTGCTTTCTCGAGACCGCGATTGGACCAAGACGCTGGAGGGATTCGCACTGGACCTCAAGGGCAAGGCCAGTGGACGGCAAATGGCGGCCCTGCAGCGCTATTGCTTGGCGGCTGGCCGTGCGCTGAGACCGCTAAACAGGGCGGTTCCGCAGTGGCGACTTGGGAGCCCACGTTCGCGGTCACGGCAAGCGGTTTAGCGTGGTGGTGGCCGGTGTGCGTTTTGCCAAGGGGCGCTGAAACTTGGGAATTTACTAGTATCAATACGCATTCGATGGTTTCTTGGACGTGATATTACTTAGATTGGTCTATTCTATGGATAGTATATACGAAAGACTTGGCGCATGACAGAAAATAAGAGAAAGATTTGATCAAATAAGACAAACGCCAGACATGAGATATTGAAATTAGGACAGTGTGGACGGCCGTGGTGCGTATTGTTCCCGACCGAAAGACGGCTCACGGACCTCCTTGTTACAGAAGGTACATGATATTGAAACTTTGATGTGGGAGTACATTTCCGGCTTGCCGCAATAGTTGCAATTAAGCAAGGAAACGAAACGGAAAATATCAATTCTCACATGCACTTTACGTTTGCTGTTCCGTACTGTACGTACCTATACTGTTCATCTGCCGTTCCTGTACGCTGTAGGGAGTACGAAGGTTCATTAGCTGCATGCAGCTTCTATCAATATTACGAGCAGCACCATCATTTCACGCAACCAGTCTCCATACCCGTAACAAAAAAAAGCGTTCATTTCCCTGATTTTGATTGATTTCTATTTATTCCTCAGACACGCGGACCCGGTATTCATCGCCTCTCCCTATCCCTTTTTGCAGATCATGTTCGAAGGATGTTCGCTGCTGGTGGCAAAGTGTTCATACTGTACACCCATACGGAATACACACACATGTAGCAATGACATTGATGGACTAGAACGGGCATCAAATGACTTCAATCTCCCATAATAGCTCGTCCGTACCTTGCATATTGTGGCGCGGTGATCGCTCGGAGAATTGCCACTGAAAGATTGAAACGGCCAATTTCATTTTGCCCGTGTTCTTTCTTGCTTTTTGACACTTTCTAGCTCGTCAATGCGCAAATATGAATTTTTTTAAAAAAAGAAACGATGATGTTTCCGATACATCGCGATCTTCCCATCAATGGATTCTTTCACACCCCCCTCCTTTACGGTGAGGTTGGCGGGCGGAAGCGTTTCACTTATTGCCGAGCAAGTGGTAGTACGAATCCATACATGCCCTTCGGCGTTTTCTGCTACCTACCTGCATACTAATCTTGCCTCTTGTTGCTTTATCCCAATGTCTACTAGGCGTGTTCAGCACAGCTACGACGACGGTCTGTGTTCAGAATAGTGCCATTAACAAAAGCGGCAGTTGCTAGAGATGTGCCGAATAGCTCAAATAACCGCACGGAAAAACCACACCGGAGCAACACACTACTGTATTCTTGCTTACTGTATCCCGCCTCATCAGTACAAGTAATACGGATCCATTGATGCTACCTTCACCTTCACCTGTAGCTGCATCAAGCTCTTGCTCCTCCTCCCCCCATGTCACGGTCCAGCATGCGAAGCCTTGCCAAGACACAGTAGTTCTCCCTCAAAGGCGACACAGGGCCAAGCTTTGTGAGCCATTATAATCCCAGATCGGCAGACGCACGGCGGTTTGAGAAGATCCACCCGACGGAGCACTGCTTCTCCACTACTAATCTTGCGTCTTTCTCCTTTTACCGCATCCCCCTGCCAAAAGCGAACAAAGACCTTGAAAGGGGAGACCCGCGCTGTTTCAAAGCTATGGGAATATATGGGAAAAGAAAACGGCACTAGCAGCAGCGTAGCAAAAAACGGTATGCCGGGGAACAAGACGGGGAACAAGGAGAGACACGGTACGGTAAATGGGAGCGAGACACTGGGCTGAGAAGAGAGAGAACAAAGAATACAGCAAGATAAAAAAACCAACATTAATTAGACACTGTCTTAATACGAAAGAGGCACTATACGACATGTTACAATGCTGCACTACAGAGTTGCAATTCGCGGCTTAGCGAGGTGACGAGCAAACGGAAGAGGAGCACATATGCGTTGTGATACCTCAGAACGCACAGTATACACCTAACCAGTCCATGTACATACATGTCGTCTTACAGGCAGGCAGACAAAAAAACAAGCATCGAGCATTGGGCAAATCTCTCCCCCCCAGTCACGCCATTGCCAGGGCCCAATCGTTATCAATGCACCAGCCACGAGTATATCGGATGGCACGGTGACCCAGCACCAAGAAAAGCTGGAGCTTCCTCATCCAAGGCAGCGCAAAAAAAAAAAAAAAAAAGAAAACGGCTGGGCTGGGTCTCTCTCTTCTCCTCTTGGTCCTCCCCCAAAGGGAGCCCACTCCGGCCGCCCGCTTATTCCCAGTTTTTTTTTTCACAAAAAAAGCAAAAGAAAACCTTGGAAGTGTTCCCATACCATAGCTAGACGCCTTTTGGCCGGAAGCAAAAGAGTGGCCCTCCCTGATGACGCGTATGCCCCCCAAGAAGCAAAAAGTAGAGCCCGGGATAAAAGTGCGGAAATTCTCGACTACTGTGCCAGTATGTCGCAGCGGTGGAGCAAGCAAGCAGCCAGGCGTGGGACGGAGGTGGGCTCTGGTTTGCTGTTTGCTGATCCGAAGAGGGCCGCAGTGGCTTGGGGGGTCAGTGGCTTGCCCAGCCCAGCTTCTCCGTTGTACGGACAAGCGAGGGAAAGCCTCTCTGTTCTTGGTCTTGGTCTTGATTTTTTTGATCCTGTTCGTTCGTCTGTTCGTTTTTGGGATGGTGATGGTTGCAGGGAAGAGGTGTGGTGATGGGAGCTTTTCCAATCCCGGCGTGGTTGTGGCGCTAACAACGGATAAGAAGAGCAGATAGATAGGGAATGAAGTAATTGTACAGAGATAGGCACTGCAAAGATAAGGCTATCTTTTGGTGTGGTGTGGCGGGCCAATGTAACTTGGACATATCCGGCGGGCGGTACATGTACCAAACCATTATTGCCGAGAAGAGGCTTGACCTGCAGTGGCTATCGCAATCGCACAAACACCTCACGGCCACACCCCATTCTCGAGAAGTGTCTCAGCCGCATGCATAGCATCCCAAGACGGATGTGATAGATAATGGCTGGGCGCAGCAACCACAGCGTCTCGGGTACCGGTACTTTTCGTCTTGTCTTGTTTTCGTTCCCATTGTATTACATGCAGCATGATTCATTCGTTGCGTCCTCGTGTTTCTTACGATTCAGCACAACTCTAAAATATGCCTCTTTTCGCGTGCCTGGACTGGCTGGGCATCGCATGGCATCGGTATCGAAATCTCCGCCCGCTGCGTGGAGTGCAGTAGGGAAATCTCTCGTATGCAGCCTACACAAAAGAAGCAATACAATAAAAGGGCCAAGAAGGTCAAATTGAACCAAGAAAACAAGGCGCCCCCCTCCCATCCCATTCAGTGAAAGTGAACCTTCTCAGCTGAGAGGAACAGAAAACGGCGGCTGGCTAAACTCCCCATTCCTCTGGCGTAGTGCGAGACAGGTGCCATTGGAATGGCGTCGAAAAGGATATTCAACCGGGCGGCTCAGCAAAGAATTCATCACAAAGCATAAAGCAGAGAATAGCAGACGGCGAGTGACAGAATGGCTTGTCGTCGGAGCTTCCGGCGGCCGTTCCCTGCTTGGAGGCCATTGGGCAGCTTGCGTAAGTCTAGGCAAAGTACCGCTCCGTCTACCGCACGGGTAACGGGTACATGGGCGCCGCACTCCGGGTTCGACGAGGGAGCTTGTCAATGGGACAAAGGACTGGGACTGGGGAAGGACGGGTCGGCATTGTACAGCATTCAATATTGAACAGCTGGTGCTGTGCTGGTGCTGTGCTGGTGCTGTGCTGGTGCTGGTCGCGTACACTGTACACTGTACAGGTACTGTTACTGTGCTGAGCTGGTGCTGTACTCGTAGCTGTGGTAGTACTGTAATCTGCCCTTGTTCTATATATATCGATATGATATATCCGGCATCCTGACAGGGGGGCTATGTTCACGCATTTGCAGCTGTTAGCGGCTCTATGGCCGATGGATGGGAGATGACCACACAGCACAGCACAGCACAAGGCAATGTACATTTGGATGCCACAGCCCCAGCAGGCTACTGTACAGTAGAGTACAGGCGCAGTGAATGCATTGATCCAAACAGCACAGCTGCTGATAGTAGTGATAGTTGGCACACCACCACGCAATCATCCGTCTCGGCCGCAACAGGCAAAGTGGCGAACATGACGCGATAACCAGCCTCCAGCACCGCAGACACAACAACTGACTAACGCGGTGATCTGCTGGGAACAAGTCATTGGCATGTCGCAGCAGCACTAACCGCTGTGCTTGGTGGAATCTACTAGTAATCCCTGACCCCGGTTGCGCCTCTCAGGGGTGGGATAGACAGGGGCGTGCGCGTTTGCATGATGGTGGTGGGCGGGCTCCTTTTTTTTTTTTCTCTGGGGCCTTGCACTCGGCCATGCTTTATCATCCCATCCAGACCGAGATATAAAGCGAGCCTGAACTTTCGTTGTCAGCTTTTGTTTTTTTTCCCTCTTCTTTCTTCCCATCAACCCACAGCCGAACAATTCCATTCGTTAAAACTCTCCAAACTCTTTTACCAAAAACCAACCAAAATCTAAAACCCCCAAACCACCACAAACAACCTTCAAAATGCGTGCTGCTGCTGTCGTCGCTATCTTCGCTGCCACCGCCATGGCCCAGACTGGCGGCACTGCCTCTCCCACCAACGGCACCAGCGTCACCCAGACTGGCAAGCCCACCTCTGCTCCCACCAACGGTGCCAGCTCCCTGTCTCAGAACATCCTCCTCGGTGTCGGTGCCGCCGCCGTCTTCGCTGCCAACCTCTAAGCGACTCGCGCCCCTTGCTTGGCTTTCCACTGCCTTGAGGATCTAAGGGTCGTGTTGTGAGCTTTTCAGGAAACCGGGAGGAACAAGGAAACTCGGAGGGATGGGGAATTGAAAGAAAAAAACAAGTGGAAGAACAATTTAGTTGGTCGACATCTTGGAAGCAACATCTTTCACCACTACTACGACAGAGATGGCTGCTCAGGATGTAAGAGTCAATTCCCAGCCTTGATCCTCTTTTCCCGGAGCCGGCCTGTCCGGGGCCGCAACACTAATCGGGTCCTCCGTCAACGAAAAACAACCACGGCTGGCTCGGGGAAGGAGATCTTTGGCGCGGCGACTACTATTTGCTTTTTTCTACTTTTTTTTATCTTCTTTTTTTCCGCAAAAGACTTTTTTTCATTTTCAACCTTTGCTACTTCTCTCGACTTTTGCATAAAGTGCGACATACCATCTAGAGGTTTTGTCTGCCCCGGGAAAGATGGCGTTTCTACAATTTTCTGGAATTGGAAATAATTGTGTGCTTTTTGTTTTTTTGTTATTGTGTGATGCGCCGGCAGATGTGATACGAAATTCATTCTTCTGACTGGGAAACTGTTTTGGTCGATTTTTTACGGAGGAAGACTGAGGAGGAATGTGGGTGAGGAGAAACTCGTTTGCGCGAGTTGGTTGGAATCCGCCGAAAACAGATAATAGTAATTAATGCAAAAGGCAATTCCTTCTAAAAAAAAAAACCTGTTTTCTCTCGAGAGTGAATTAAATGTGTGACCCGACCGTATTCCTTCTAGTGTGCGATAAGTGACTGCTTGCCAGAGAAGAAAAAAAAGACGTGATCCATTATGACTACCGACTGGGGGGGTGTGAGATGATATGATCCCTGTCTTTATTTTAGGCGCCTAGAACGCTGGCTGTTTAATGAAGCAATTTGGCACCACTTGATAAGCTGATTCCAACGTTACCACAGACTCTCGACTCTCGTTAGTACATGCAAAGTATGTACATTTCTCTGCGTGCCTTTTGCTTTATACCGCTTATACTACCTAGTACTGTAGTACTGCCTACTCGTATCCATCACGACATTTGATCTTTACACTGGTGCCCTGCCATACTTGGTCGCCATGATCCTTGTACAGTCGACAAATTTATCAAAATCGCGCACCAGCTGCGGAAAGTCCTGAATCAGCTCCAGCGTCCGGGCCTTGAGCTCAGCGGCCTTGTCGCCGGCCTGGGGCGGATCCACGGCATCATCATCGTCGCCTGTATGGACGCCTCCTCCGTCTCTGTCATCCTCACAGCTAGTAGTAGTAGCCGCTTCTGCTGTCACTCCAGCTGCTCGTGCTGCTGCTACTGTTGCCGCCGCCGCTTCTGCTTTGGGACCTCCGTCGTCGCCTTGGCCGCTGCCGCGGGTGCCGACGACGCTGACGGGGCTTCCGCTTGTGCTCTGGCTTCTCTGGCTGGCAAACCAATGTGTGTTCAGGGCCGACAGGCGGACGAGGAATTCGTCATAGTCGACTTTACGTAGCGTCGCCTGGTTGCCGGGCGAATGCCGAAGCGATTCAACACCACATCAGCCTTTTTTCTTCTATTACTCGTATTTTGTAGATACAATGTACTCCCAGGTACTCTGCAGGCCAGAAAAATACAACAGGTGAAATTCCAAAAGTGCTTGCTTATGAAAAAAAAAAGGCATCGCTTGATACCCGGGAGGCAATCATCGGTTGAGTCATACGAGGGCAAGCCAATGGCAGCGCCAGTAAACCTCGTATAATTGACAACAAGCCATGTTATCCCTCCATCACATGTTGGAAAAGCGAAAAATAGATTGTGAAAATGATAAAATAGGGTTGATCATGTAATGTAACCGAGTGTGTGTTCTGTCTCCTGGGCGGGTGTGGGATGATCACCACATCCAGTCATCACCATCCAATCCAGCCCAAAAGCGGCAAACGAGCCCAAATGCGTCAGGTGTCTTACTTTTCGGTGGAGCTGCCAGTGTAAGATTATGGAGAAGGGGGCTTTCTGTGTGGGTTTGTGATGAAAAGAAAAAACATAAAAAAGAATGAACGAATGAAAGAAGAGGTAGAGGGGGAAAAGATAAAGGAAAAATACCAGTTGAATCAAGGAAAATGAGGTCATACATACCTGGGCCAGGCTTCCCCATCGCATCATGAAGAGCATCGTGTCGTCTGCATATCCCGGGACGTTGAGCATGGCGCTGTTGACTTCGCTCGCGCGCTGCGAGCCCCCGGTAGAGCTCATCGTGCCTGTTTCCTCAAAAGCTGATTTGAAGAGACGGAAAATATTATTTATAGCTCCCCCTTCCCTTTGTGTTTAGTTTGGGTTACGGCGGGCGTGTGTCGTGTGGGCGAAGTTGAGTGTGTGTCTGTGTGAGCGAGTCAAAATGGAAGCTCGCCCAGAAGAAGGAGAAAAGAGCACTACACTAGGACTGACGGGTGTGAAGCCGCTGTTCCAGGCCAGGCGAATCCCATCAGCCGCATGAGCCCTACGAGGCGCAATGGTCTGTGAGCCGAAATGTGATGAATGAGTTGGAAAATGAGGGCTAGTTCCATACGAAAAGGCACAGCAGTAGTCGAGTTGTTAGTTCTTATGCACGCTTCACTTGATCGAGTTCGTTTCTCAGCTGGCACACAGCCTTGCCGACGCCACGTGGGGCTGTGCTCGCCTTGCTTCTTGTGGTTGTAATAATTGAGAATTGATATTTAGTTCATTGATTCATTGATATTGATACTTGGAATCTCTGAATCTGTCAGCTTCATTGACACTGGCTGTCGTTTCCAGGATATCAACACCAGGTTTGCAGTATCACAGCCGTACCATTATGCTATAGGCAGCTCGCATTTGATGGAATCCAGAATAAAACCCGAACTGAGCCCAACCACCTCAATGTCAGCAAACAAGCATTTCACTTTGTCTTTCAAGGCTGCCTTGCGCTGACAGCTAATGCAGAAGCTGCAGATGACCCGCCCCTTGATGGCCTCTTGTCTCACCAATAATGACAGAGCATCTACAGTACGAGTACATCTGCATCGACATCTACAAGGACATACCCGGATGAGCTTCCGGCTCTGAGGCATTGTATCTGGTACTTGAGCCTACTGGTCTAAGATACATCAAAGGCAAGTAAGGGCGAGTACGACTTCTTTATGCAAATTTATAAGTTGTGACTAAAGCTGAATTCACTGCAGTAGCACAGTACATGAGAATGATGACACTTTGCTCATCTTCATAAGATGGTAAAAATACCTGTAGCTTTATCAAATTCCATACCAGAAAGCGCTTAACAGCAAAACCAAGACAAAATGAATATCCCAAGCCATTCCCCTACCATCTCAATATCCCACCATAGATGTATCCTCGATGGGAGCCTGGCAAAAATCTGAAAAGCCCGCTCCATCAGCATCCAGTTTCGCCTCATCTACACCCCTCCCCCTCCGCCTTGTGAGTTGAGCGGTTTCCTCCCTACGATGAACCGGTAGGTAGTAATCAGCCTGAGGTCCCGACTTCGAAACTCCCGTTTGACGCCTTCCATCAGTACGTCCGCCTGGTCTTTGGAATAGTTCAACACGCGGGTGAAGAGCGCTGGCGTGTGCGAGTCGACAGACATTTGCATGTGTGTGAGCTCAAACTTTCCCAGCTCCTTTAGCGTAGGATCCTTGGCCCATGGTCCGATTGGTATCTGTTGTTTGTTAGCTTGATTGTTCCATGCTTTGACCTGTAGAATGTTAATCCCAGAAGACTGCTTCAACGTACTCTGTATACCTTCTCCTCAACATCCTCGAAACCTGCGTCAATGATCCACTGCTTCTGATACCGCGCCACATTAATCTGCTTGCCATACATCCTGCTCGCGGCATCCAGCTTGTCAACCCATTCCATCGTCCACGGCGCACGGTCGCAGCTATCGTCGTCGCTAAAGATCCACGCATCGTACTCCTGCATCTCGAGCCACCCGCCGGGCTTCAGATTCTCCATCACCTGCGAGTAGAACCGCGGCCAGTCGGCCGACGTGCCGCTGAGCGCCCGCCCGTGTATGTAGTCGAACTTTTCGTCGTCGTGGTACGTCCACTGGTCCTCGTAGTCGTCGACGTGGAAGCGGCAGTTGTTGGGCACCCACTCGGGCTGGATCGGCGACAGGTCGACGCCGAAGACGGACGCGTTGGGGAACTCGTCGGCCATGTCAATGGCCCAGATGCCCGTGCCCGTGCCCAGGTCCAGGATGCGCAGCTCGTCCTCCTCGCCCGTGGGCGTCGGTAGAGGCGCTGTGAAGAGGCGGCCGCCGATTAAGAGCCGCCATATGTGATGCTGGAGATCGAGTCGCTCCTGTTCCTGCTGGTCGTTGGGCAGCACGTACTGGCCCTCTCTGTAGGCGTGATAGCGACGGCCGTTCTCATACTGGTAGTTGTAGATGGACGACGTGATGGAGCCGGTGTAGGCCGAGTCTTGATCGGAGCCATAGGTCGAGTCGACATCCGCCGGGTCATCGGGGTATGCGTCGTGCTGGTCCCAGGTTCATGTAAGCGGTTGTGCGACAGCTATCTTCAATGTTTTCTCGTTTCCCTTTGGCTCTTCTTCTTCCTCATTGACTTTCTTCCTCTCCTTCTTGTCCATTACAAAAAGACTCTCAACATGTTGCATCACATCACGCATGTAGTTCGACACACGTAACGGGGATCGATCAATGATGGCTGTACTCACATCGACTTGGACCGGCACAGGATTGTCGGCATCGCCAGCCACGAGGCCGGCCAGCGGCGTCATGGGCCCGGCAGACTGCGACGGAGAATGCCGCGGCGAAACGGATGGGGATTTTTCCTTGCCCTTGGGAGAAGTGGACGGCGACTTTGCATTGTCAATGGGAGACGCCATGGTTCGTGTCGCAGAAAATATGACTGGTGACTTTTTTTTCCTCCCTCCAAGTCCCTTCTCGCCTCGCTCGTGCGACGGTACGCGAGGCTCGAAATGCCAGGGGCCCTCCCGGCGATCGCGGATTCGAGAACAAGCTGCTAAATCGGCGGGCGAAAGAAATACTTCCCTTTTTTCCCGTTATTCTCTTTCTCCTTAACTAGTGGCCTCGGAAACGGCAGTATCGATCCTGTAAGGACAGAGTCGTGTTGGGGCGGGGAGCGGCTTGCGGGATGCGAGGCTTAGAAGCTCCGGGCCTTTTCGGCCTCGGGAGGGCTAAGACACTTATGAGCTAGCAGCATGTTGGATGAGTACTCGGGCTATACTGAGACCCGAGTCTGATGCTTTCAAGTTGATATTGGGTCATGAGGTGTATGGCTGCATGAGAATATGTGTACTAAAGGAGGTCCTTGCATGATTGTCTGTGTAGCATTAATGGGCTTTGCGTTTGATGTAAGCTCACAAGGTGTCTATGGCTGGTCAATTTGGTGTGGCGTCGCCAGCCGTCACTTCTTCATTCCTTCTTATTGATCCGGCCGTTGTGACATGATCTCAGCCCGGGGAATCTAAATGGAGGTACGGCAATCTTTCCCACCCTTCCACGTGTAAGCACTTGTATCTATCTGCAAGTCATAATGGCCCATGAACACGATACATGTATGAAGTACACATAGCATTCATCAGCGTCAAAATCGAACAAAGGCATACACTGTAGGGCCTCTTGAATCTTGTGGAACCAAAGCCTCTACAAGCCCGCGCGTTCTTCCTCTTGGCCTTCGCCGTCGCATCCCGCTCTCACGCCACAACTCAAACTTACTCATACCAAGCCGGCTAGGTCGGTGCTGCGGTTCGCCGACCAATATACGCAAGTGGGCTGCCGGAAGCGTGATTGAGGGCCGTGATAGGCCGACGAAGCTGCGCAATTCATCTCACATGTCTCCACACGTTTGCTCAACCCCTGACCCTGCTAGGTCTTTTACACGTGGGTTTAGCCGTCGCTCGCGAGGAGCTGGCCCATGGTACTGGGACTGGACCATGCGAATTTGGGGACTGTTTTGCACGCAAATAGCACAGATTTTTTAAGACCCAACGACCCAACGCCCATGGTCCCGGCTAGCTGGTAACTGTGGTTCTCACTGCTTCAATTAGGCCTGTCTTTGTAGTTTGCTTCAACAAGATGTGAGTACATGTACATAATGTAGTTGAACGTTTGCCACCGATGAGCCGAGTCTTTCAGGAATGTTCTTAATCCCCTTTTGTCCCGTTGACCGAGCCTATGCGTTGGAGTAGCTTTCGGAGCACCAGCTAGTGTCCTAATTCCTTGTTTCGACACCGCAGATGGCGCATACACATGCTACTACTGCCTTACCTTACACAATTTTAGTGTTTGATTCCCTTGACTCTTGTATGATGCCCGTGCCGTTAAGGGGCTTAAGCTGGGGGAGCTGGTGAGGGGCAGGCGGCCTAGATTAACCAAATCAACCTCTGAGACTTTCTTGTAATGCGAGTTGATCCCTTCTCTTGACTTGTCTCTTTCATTATTCTCATCTCGCCCGTAGTGGAGACGCCAAGTTTCCAGATTGAGCACTTCTCAGCCTCCAGCTGGTACCATTTTTTGTAACCATCGATTGTCCAACACGCCATCACCCCTCGTCGAAATCTCTCATACTCATTTCCAATCAAGATCACAATGGGCTCCGAAGGAAGAAAGCTCATTTGCGTCGTCGGTGCCACTGGCAACCAGGGAGGATCCGTGGCTCGGCGGTTTCTTGCCGCCGGGTTCCGAGTCCGTGGTCTCACTCGCAATTCTTCCTCTCCCGCAGCCATAGAGCTTGCATCACAAGGCGCAGAGCTGTTCGAGGCGAATCTCGACGACCCAAATAGCCTCGATCAGGCATTTGCCGGTGCGAATGTCATTTTCAGCGTCACCGACTACTGGGAGCCCTTCTTCCATCCGGAGTGCCGTAAGGCTGCCGAGGCACAAGGAATTTCGTACCGTCGATTTGCGTACGACACAGAGTATCGCCATGGCAAGAACATAGCCGACGCCGCAGCAAAGATTGCGGATTCGCTGGATGCAAATGGCTTCCTCGTTTCAACCTTGAGCCATGCGGGCAAATGCAGCGGCGGCAAGTTCAAGGAGCTGTATCACTTCGACTCCAAGGCCGACGTCTTCCCAACATACGTCGAAGAGCACTATCCCGAGCTTGCGGCCAAGATGTCGTGCATTCAGACGGGCTTTTTCTACACAAGTTTCAATATACTGCCCAATTCTTATTTTGGAAGAGTAAGTTGCTGTTCATACAGCGTGTGGTTTCCGTCGTCTTTCGAAGCTCGTGTGAGGCCAAGTCTATGTTCTAACACTATGTTTAAGCTTCCTGATGGACGAGTCGAGATGGCCTTTGCTACGGTTCCTACAAAGACCATCCCCCATTTCGCTCCCGTCGACGATATGGGTCCTTTCACCTATGCCGTCTGGCAAATGCCCCCTGGAAAGCATTACATGGCCGCGGGAACAAACTGCACCTGGCCCGAGTTTATCGAGACTTGGAGCAAAGTCTCTGGCGTCCCAGCCACCTACAGACAAATTTCTCCCGAGGAGATGATCAAGGCAACTGGCGAGCCGCAGCTTGGAGGCGAGATTACCGACATGTTCTTGTACAGCTCACAACCAGGCTATGACGGTGGCATGGATGTATTGCAGGCAGAGGATATCAGAAAGGTATGTGCATTTCCTATTTAGTGAGATGGCTTTAGTAATGTTAACGATGCGTTATTAGGCTGGCATTGACTGTCCCATGACAACGTGGGAGGAGTGGGCAAAGAGACAGGACTGGGTGGCTATTCTCGCTCGTTTGCATGGCACTGCTTAAAAAGGAAACACATACCCATCTTCCGTTTCCTAGCTTATGTCACTTAATTGTTTTAAAAAGATAGATCCAAAGATTGTGAGTACTGATAATAATGAACCATCAACTCGACTTTGGAAGTTAAATGCTTGAGAACGTCGCTGCTTCGTGAGATATAAGCCTTTTTGTGTTTAGCGCGCGACCAATGGAAGGATTGCAGAAGGTGCCGGCCTACGTGAACTATAAGGCCATTAATTGTCATGTAACTGGAATTATTCAGTGCTCTAAGAACTCTGGTAATGACTTTTACGATTCTGATTTCCTTCTGAAACTTGACTCTCTTCAATAAGCTCTTCAAGCCTCTCAATCATCACGAACATATGACGGCGAATTTTGCTTAGTCACCCGCGCTGATAAGCTGATAACGAGCAACCACAATTTGTCGTATCACGCATACTTTTTCTCCCAACTCTCTTTCGTCATATAAACGCAGTGGATTTGCATCGCGTTATTTTGTTTTGCTCAGGCTACTTTCATCGTGAACTTGCTTGAAATCATAGCCCAACATGGTGCGAAATAGACCGCAGCGGCGCAACGACGACCGCCCAAGAAATGGCTATGCAGACGACCGAAACCGCCATTCCTTCCGGCGCTCACCACCAAGGGAACCAAGATTCTCTCAGTCGCGCGACAGACCCTATCATGACTCTGATAATTGGAGGCCCGGCGACCGGAGGCAAGATCATCGTCCTCGGTCATATGGCGATGACCGTGGAGGCAGCGACTCATACCGGCCGGCCGTGCCCCAGGGAGACTTTACCTTCCGCGTCGAGAAACCAGCTGGCATCTCTGAATACGCGCCTGCCGGCCAGCCGTCACATCGCCGTCAGCCTCGAAGGGACGGAAGAAGAGGCGGCCCGTCACGGGGATTTGGCAGACCTCGATGGCAGCCGCCGCCCCATCATTCTGAACGCGCACTGATCGCCGGCATCGCTACTGACGTGCCTGAGGAGAGTGTGCACAACAACGAGGCTGCGAAATTTCGCGATCTGGACGAGCTATCGGACGATGACGAGCTTGATATGGACATCTCGTCACGATCGTCGCAGTCTGATACCGAAGAACCCTCTAGAAAAAGAGTGCGCACGGCCTTGGCCGACGAGTCTGCTGAAGCAACTCCCAAGTGGTCCAACCCAGACCCGTACACGGCGCTGCCTTGTCCAGACGAGACTACTCGCAAGAAGCGAGACGTTGTGAAGCTCATCCGCAAGGCCAGAGTGGAAGAAACTACAGCCAAGCCCGCTGCCACGTCAAAGGCTGAAGATTTCCTTTCGTTTGAACCTAGTGACGAGGAGGGCGACGAAGCTTCAGACGACGATAAGGTTGACTCTCAGCCACCACCAACGCCTCGAAAGGAATTTTCTGGCAGCCTTCCCAGCAAGCCTCCACCTCCTCCCACAGGCGTAAATTCTCTCCCAAACAAACCTGTTGTTTCCCATACCGCTCCAGGTCCTCTTGGCTCTCGCAAGCGTACTGCAGACGACGAGATCATCCAACCACCAGATTACGGCCAGCTCAAGAAGCCAAACATGAAGCCATCTAAGGGAGACTTGGTGCCAAACTGGGCGCCGAAATCACACGAAGAGCCTTGCCCATGGGCAACTGTCGACCACTCTGCAACTACGGATATGCCGTTTCGGTAAGCTTGTTCATCTTGTTTGCTCACCTTGCTTGGGCGTCTAGATTTTATCTCAAATGTTAACCACACTACATCAGACTGCACAAGGAGGTCATGGATTTCTACCACTTTGTCAAGCCTTGTGACTTTGAGCAGGCGATTCGCGACCGCTTGGTGGACAACTTGCGAAAGGCCATGAAGAGGGATGACCGAAACTTTGCCAGCGCTCAGCTTTTCCCGTTTGGTTCCTTCATGTCTGGTCTCTATCTCCCAACTGCCGACATGGACATGGTCGTATGCTCCGCCAGTTTCATGAGAGGCGGCCCTGCCACGTATCTCAGCGCTAGAAGCTGGCTGTACAAGTTCCGCAAGTTTCTTGTGGCTCAGCGAATTGCCGAGTTCGATGCGATCGAGGTTATTGCCCACGCTCGAATCCCGCTCGTCAAATTCGTCGACAGGGCCACCGGACTGAGAGTCGACGTATCCTTTGAGAATCTCGGCGGAGTCACGGCGATTGAAACTTTTGCGCGCTGGAAGAAGGAGTATCCAGCAATGCCCATTCTCGTCACTCTGATCAAGCACTTCCTTCTCATGCGAGGCTTGAACGAACCCGTCAATGGAGGCTTGGGAGGATTCACCGTCATCTGCTTAGTCGTCAGCATGCTGCAGCTCATGCCCCAGGTGCAGAGCCGCAACCTCATCCCGGAGCACCATCTTGGAGAGATGCTCCTCGAATTCTTCGAGCTGTACGGGCGCCAGTTTAACTATGAACGGAATGCCATTTCGCTTACTGCTCCTGTTGGATATATCCCCAAGGTACATCATGAGAGTTTCTTTCCTCTTTCTTTTGTCTACCCTTTTGCTAACCACCAATTCCCAACTCTAGTCCAAGGTCAGCAGTTTTGCATACAAAAACACAAACCGCCTCTCCATCATTGATCCCAACAATCCCGCCAACGACATCGCTGGCTCCTCATCAAACATGCCCGGCGTCCAGGCTCGTTTCCACGACGCCTACATCTCCCTGCAGCGCCGCATGAAGGAGGTCGCCAAAGATGCCAAGTGCGGCGGCATCCTCGATGTGATTTTCCGGGGAGACTATTCATCCTTCAGGATGCAGCGAAACTTTCTCCAGCACATACATGAGAAGCGTTCCTAAAAATTCAAACCACGCTCTCTAAAAAGGTATATGCTGCATTTATGACGACTAATGAGGCATTGGCGTTTTATGGATACCCATTGTTACGAACGAGTACATTGGCATATAATGGAGGCATGTTAGAATAATGCCTTTCGATTTATCTTGGGGGGAAAGGGGAGAGGGCGGAAGGACCTGATATTTTGCTGTTGATTCGAAACATGTACTAGTAACGTTTTTTTGACGATTAGGCGCGACGGAGGGATCCAGAGCAGTGTTGCTTTTACTGTTCTACAATGGCCAGGGCGGTTGTTTGTGACTGCCAGCTAATGGAATACCTCAGGGAATCGCGCGACTACTTGAACCTACCGTCATACGCTTTGAGCCGAATCGATCGATTTCTTTGTCTAGCTTTTTTCTGTCTTTTTCTGGCTAACTACGAAACCATTTCGCGCAGTGATATGCAAGGGAAAGGGGGTGTTGGGGTCTGTTGGGCGCTGACTATTGATGCAGATACACAAAGACTTGTTCAGCCTCGTCGACAAGGCTGTCGGGAAACAGGCTTCTCTTTTTTTCCCAGACAGCCATTGTCGATGGCAGCCCTTACGTCTGGGCTTGATGGACTCCCGGTGATGTCGGTCACCACTTTTTCCTCACTGCAGAAGCTGCTTTATGCAGAGCTGTGGAGAGGGAAGGTCTCGTGGTGACTATGGGTTGCGATAATAGTAGTGTATTTAGTCAATTCATGCTATTTGAATAACATCCATATTGTAAACTCATAGTCTATACAGCAGCTCCATTGGTGATCGTATTGGTGATCGTATTGCCGTCCATTGATTCCAGTTCAATACTATCCTGCTCCGGTCCGGCAGCAGTATTGCCAACCACGGCCGGGTGATTCTCAAACCGTGATACCAAGAATTTGAACTTGACCCCCCTCGGCTGACCTTGCCATGCGCAGTAGCCTGAATTGAAGAGATCGTCCATTTCCTCCAGCGGGCCTCCTTCGGTCTCGCGAAATTCAGCGTAAACATGCAAAGCAGCAACAAAGTTGACTAGACACCTGATCAGCCATATGTTATACACATACACATCATCCAGAGACCGCATCACCTACAGATGGCGAATATGTAGTATGTCCTGCCACTGTAAAAATCTCCATGTCAGCAAGTGTTCTTGGTGTCATTGCTGCCCAACAAGGGGGAAAAGGAGAAAAGAATGGAGCTGCGTACTCGAATTTTATGACTGCCAACCCGAATCACAACATGTTAGCTGACTTTGCTCTTCAAGGAAGCACGACCCAACTCCCTTCTTCACTTACGCATGCGAGGTACCGCAAGGGTCATGATCAAATTGCCAACCCAATAGGACACTGTACACAGCGCAACTCCTCTGCTGCGAAGGTAAGTCGGGAATATCTCTGTCGAATAAGTCCAAGACGTTGGGCCCCATGTAGCCGCATATGTGAGTACAAACAGAGAAGCAACAACCATCAGGGCATTGGAAGCGCCCTGGTTTTGGATGACGTAGGCGAAGTCGTCAAAGTAAGTACCCTCGAAATACCCCAAGTTGGGCTCGGCATAGGCGATCTGGATCAAGCCTGAAACAAGGTTAGCTGGTATGGCTGTGATGGGGTTTGGGTAATATTCACCCATTATCATAAGGCATGGTATCATCACTAGGGAGCCAGCAATCAGTGTGTTTCGCCGACCAAAACTATCCGGTAGTGTCGAGCCCGACATCGCGGTGCTGATGATGTTGAATAGATATATAAAGAACACGGCCAAAGGGAGCCAAATGACTCCTGCTGAACCTACGACCTAGGTAGTGTGGTCTAATTGAGAGGGCCATGTTAGCATACGTGTACCATGAGATGATGAGCCTTTGAACTTTGGGGCAACAAACACAAGAGAACATGTATGCCACACAGCTGGTTCCATAACTGCGTAAACAGACCCAGTATGAGCTTATACCTTTCCGATGGACGGAACAGCATTCGCAGCTGAGGCTGTCCATCTCCGCGTCGAGCTTGGATCTCTTGTCGCATTTGTTCATAGTGCGCCAGAACTTTGGGATCAGTCGTCCTTCGAATCTCCAGCGCAGCCATCAGCTCGTGGGCCTCGCGCCAATGGCCCTTTTCGGCAAGATGATACGGGCTGTTGGGCAGGAGCATTGTAAACACCAGGAATGCAAGACTAGGGATGGTTTGAACGATATATGAGATTCGAAGAGCGTAAACCACACCGCGCGGGTCGTTTGGGTCGTTTGGGTCGTTTCCGGGAACCTCCTCCCCAATGAGCCGCCTTGCCATGAACTGGATACCATTTACCAACAGGATACCGAGGCCGATGAACAAGTATAGGAGACTTTTGTCATGTTAGCACATCTTCAGTGACGGCGGTACGAATGCTGTATACCTCATGTATGATCCCCGACGTTCCTTTGGCGCTATTTCAACCTATTTGATTCTCAGTCATCGGCAACCAACCCTTATCAGCACAGGAAGTACTCATTACCATATATGCAGGCACAATAGCACTGAGAATTCTACCTCCGACACCGGCTATGCCTCTTCCGACACTCAGAAGCGTAAGCCCTCCTGAAAGGGCCATGAGACCGCTTCCAATCGCCCACAACAGAGTCGCCCAACTCAACGTCCTCGGCGCCCCAAATTCATCAACGATAAGCCAAGTTACGAGAGCCCCCATTATTGAGCCAAAGGGTATTATGGAGGCTAACATTTCTCGCTGAAACGGCACCGATGGATCGGATGAGAACACCATGACATCGAGGATGCCCGTCATGGACGCCAGGTTGAAGCCGATGAGAAGACCGCCTAGGAGATTGTTCTGTCAGAAAATCTGGACGCCTCTCCGACCTACAATAGAATAACTGGGGGATGATTGAAGGCCGACGGCTGTGCACAGAGAACTCACTGAAAGCGGCCATAAAGAGAATATTGGTAACATTTGTTGATTCCTTCATGATGAACGCAGCTGGTCGTCTAACAAGGCAGAAAAATAAAATAACAAATGCCGGGAACATGAGCGTCAGCTAAAAGTGATGATACAGAAGCAAAATAAAAACAAAAAGCCATGGAGATGGCTGTACAGGCGATGTAGCCGGTGGAATGAAGTGGGAAAGAAGGATGTTCTGAAGCGAAGCATATGTAATTTAAAAGGGAGTAGCTATCCAGCATCCCGCGTTCCAATTGCATACTTGTAGGAAGCTAGCACCTGGCATATTGTGAATATTGAACTTGAATACATGCACCTTGACTACCTCATGTTGTACCTAGTAGGTAAGTTGCTATTACTAGGTACTTGATGATATCGGACGCGAAAACAGGCAGCGATAGGAGCAGATTTAACAATAGTAGAATAAGCTCGTCTAGGAGCAGATACTCGAAGTCTCTTGGCCAGAATGCAATGAATACACTTTACTAATTTATGCAGAGGACGCCAAATACGTTGAAAGAGTTAGGCACGTGTGTTATTAATAAATGAAACTGACAAGTTGATTTCACTACAGGCAACAGAAGGTATCTGAGGCTACTAACGCGGTAACGACTGCACGATGTGATCCAGTCTGTGGTTGAGCCATTCGTAGTGCCCCTCTTTCAGGATCTGATATCGAGCCAGAAGCCACATGAAGGATTAAAAAGGCAACTCTCCGTATCCTATATGCTTCAATACTCTAGTTTGTATGGAATTATTGTATTAAGCTGTATATCATAGTACCATTTTGTATTTACCTCAGGTGTCACCCAAAGGCAGACATAAATTGTTGCTACCCTACTGCGAATTTATTAACGTATGTGTTTATGAGAAGAGTGGATGTTTCATAGAACAAGTGAAACTAAATCCAGTAGATACAGATGCTCCGCAGATATGTATACGAGGTAGCTTTAGATAGACGAAGATAGACATGTAATGTATAATCAGATACACTGGATAGAGATAGATAGATGTAATACTCTGTAGATAGGCAGAGAAATAATAAGAACGCATTATCCTTTCTTACCTACTAATTCGCGTCCCGTTTATTTGGCCCACTGATCGATATCGTACGTGACCCCCACCGATTACAATATGCTTCTCCTCTCTGTGCTAGTGGTGAGAGTGCCACCTTTTCTGCCGTGGGGGAACACAATGACCATCAGTAATACCTGAAGAATGAGGGGCAACGTGATGGAGATTGAGGGGCCAAAGCTATTATGGAGATGAAATGGAGAGCTTAGATTGAACTGGACCGCAGTTATCCGATGTCGCAAGCTACAGTATAGCGACGATTTCTTTATTCACTCCATTGCTTTTCTCACAAGCATCCGGCGATTTGACGAGCGAACAGGAAGCATTGAGCCGGCTGAGGACATTGACAGTTCATTAAACTCGTGTGTCTTTTTCTGCTTCTCATTCAGCGGCTTGCTTAATTGAACAAGATGTCGTCGCTCGTCTTTTTTCCCACCTCGCCCAAGGAGGCGCTGGTCAAGGAGTTTGTGGGCAAGTCGATCCGGGACGTGCCGACGCCTGCGGCCGTGATGAACGTTGCAGCGGCGAGACGGAACTGCGAGAGGATGCTGGAGGCGGTGCAGAAGCTGGAGCTGGGGTGGAGGGCACATGTGAAGACGCACAAGGTGAATTGCCCCTTCATGTATGAATTGACGGCGTTGATGGTGTTGCTAGCTAACAATGGTCTTTGAATTATAGACTGTCGAGTTGACAAGGCTGCAAGTCGGAGAGGATGTGACAAGGCCGGCGAACTTGATTGTCTCGACACTCTCGGAGGCCGAGTTTATACTGCCTTTGCTGGAAGAGTATAAGAGCAAGGGCCGACAGGTAAATGTAGGTGTTATCCCCCATCGAAAATATGGTACTAGTTGAAGCTGACATTTCATGATACCTGCACAGTTTGTATATGGACTGCCCATCTCCAAGGGAGCCGTACCGCGGCTGGCGGCGATTGCAAAGGTGCTCGGCGAGGGCAGCATCTCAGTTCTTCTCGATGATCCTGCACAGTTGGCGGCGGCAGCAGAGCTGGAGAAGCAGTCTGGTGTAAAGCCGCTGGCGCACATTAAGATCGACATGGGCGGAAAGCGAGCCGGTGTCGTGGAGAGCAGCGAGCGCTTCGTGCAGGTTGCCGAGGCAGCTCTGGCAGCTCACAAGGCCGGAGCTGTGGTGCTGTCCGGACTCTATTCACATGCTGGACACTCATACGGAGGAGACAGTCGTGTTGCTGCAGTCAAGATGTTGCGTGCTGAGGTCGGTGCAATGCTGAGTGGCGCTGACAGGCTGGTTGTCAAGGCAAAGGAGGCTGGCATCACTCTGCCCACGATAGTTGTCTCGGCTGGAGCATCTCCCACAGCGCTGGCAGTGCAGAACTTGCTCAGTGGACAGCCGGACGAGGCTCAAGACCGCGAGACGGGCACACCAGAGCTTCAGGCCGCTGTCACGGAGCTGGCGGAGCTGTTCAAGACGGTCAAGAGTAAGGGTCATGCGGTGGAGATCCACGCGGGTGTGTATCCGACCCTGGATCTACAGCAACTGGCGGCACACAGCATGGCATCATCAAAGTTGTCCTGGCGAGACATTGCCCTCACCGTTGTAGCCGAGATTCACGGCGTGTATCCCGGCCGTGGTACGAACGGCACGGATGAGGCTCTGATCGGGGCGGGTGGATTGGCTTTGGGCCGCGAGTTCTGCAAGGCATACGACGGCATGGCCATGGTGACACCGTGGGGACGAAATGTACCAATGCCCTCATGCGACGTTGAAGACTACGAGGGCTGGACTGTAGGCAGATTTGCACAGGAGCACGGCATCTTGACGTGGGCGGCTGGTAAGCGGAAGACTGAGAAGGGGCTGGGAGCTCAAGGAGATGCGGTGGAGGCGGGACAGTTGCTGAGACTGTGGCCGAACCATGCATGTATCACGAGCAGTCACTTTGGATGGTATTTCGTAGTGGATGAGGATAATGCTGGACATGAGGATGAGATTGTGGATGTTTGGATCAAGGCTAGGGGTTGGTAGACGATTGTATTATTATAGACTTGAATGAGATATCACGGCATTTGTTTGATTCAGCGGAGCAAAGACTTGTTTGATTCTGTATAATATGAGACTCTTTTGAATTTGTACAGAAGTTACATAACTCCTCATCCGTGACACTTTGTTCCACAGAATAGAACAGCACAGGTCAGAGGACCAAAAAGACCCCCACCGACGTGAGCAAGGGGCGTCGGTGCCGGCCGGTCCCGAAAGAATGAATCTCGCAGCAAAGGAACAACAAGCAAGCCCCAGGTCTTCCAATAGGATAATTATAACGGGGGAAGAACAACGGATTGCAGCCCGATCATCAGGATGCGTCGAGTTTCTGTACGGACGGCTGCAAGGTACCGATAATCACATGTACGGAATGAATGCGATTCTTCACCATGTCAACGACTGGGGGATATCAGTGGAGTCTGGACAAATGCTGGACAAATTCCCCCCACATTCCCACCCCCCAAAAAGACGGGGAAACTCTCCAGCAATTGTGGCGCCTAATACCTGATTCGAGCAAAATAAAATCGCCATCCAAGTTGGTTCTGCAGCAGTTGCGGGAGGAAACAAGTGTTGAAACTAGTAGAGAAAAGGACTGGGCTCTCGGCGGATTGTGAGCCTTGAGAAACGCCTGATGAGCGAAAAGGAAGAAAAACTATGGAGAACTGTTGTCTTACTCCGTTGTTCCCCATGATCAGCAGTCCCTCTCTTTTTCTGCCTTGCCTTTCTCCCTTATTACTCCGTACACACACATATGGGCGAATGGAAAAAAAGTATGGGGAGCGTGGGGGTACCGCCGTTTTCCCTTGCGGTTTTTGGTGTCTCTGGCCCATGGAGCACGACATTGGCAAATCAATAGTAGCATTCTGTTTGGACATGTCGGTAATAATACGTAGCATGGGGAAAAAAAGAGGACGAGACACGGGTTGCTGGCGCTGCTAATGTAGGTACCGGGCTAATAGTAATGCTTTGCGTTCCCGTTCCCTTTCTCCCCTTCGTCCTCCTCCTTTTCTTCTTTCTTCTTTTCCCTTATTATTACCTGACTCTGGTTGAAGATTGTGTTGGTTGTTTTCTCTCTTGTTGACTTGTTCTTGTGTGAGGCATACTGTTTAAATCCTCTAAGGTCTTACCTCTCTTCATTTTACCTACCGTTATACGGGTTCTCCTGTATCCTATAACACATCATATCGTCTTCTTGAAATAAGAGTGTGAAGATCATCTTCTAAATCAGACACAAACAATGTCTCCTTCTGCCTATACTCCCACCGAAGCCGGCGCAAATGGCGAGCGCCCATCACGGGTTCTAGCTCGAGGCATCTACGTGCCCACCGTGGCCTTCTTCGACCCCGAGACAGACGAGCTGGACGTCAAGACAGTCTCACGGCACGCCGTCCGTCTAGCAAAGGCAGGCGTCGCAGGCCTTGCGGTCCAGGGTTCCAACGGCGAGGCAGTCCATCTGGCTCACGAGGAGCGCAACACCATCACTCGGACCACGCGAGCGGCCCTGGACACCGCCGGCTTCTCGTCCATGCCTCTGATTGTCGGCTGCGGTGCCCAGTCCGTCGTCGAGGCCGTGAGCCTGTGTAGAGACGCGGCGGCCAACGGCGGTGACTATGCGCTGGTGCTGCCTCCCAGCTACTACGCCGGCCTGTTTGACGCATCGACGGTCGAGAGCTTCTTCGTTGCCGTTGCCGACAAGTCGCCTATCCCCATCCTCATCTACAACTATCCCGGCGCCACGCCCGGCATCGACGTCAACTCGGACGTGCTGATCCGCCTGAGCCGCCACGCCAACATTGTCGGCTGCAAGTTCACCTGTGGCAACACGGGCAAGCTGGGCCGCGTGGCCGCTGCGGTGCGGGCATCTGGCGAGAACTTCCTTTGCTTCGCCGGCAGCGCCGACTTTACGCTCTCTGCTCATGCCAGTGGCGCGGCTGGTGTTATAGGCGGCCTGGCCAATGTCTCGCCACGAGCCAACGTCAAGCTGTTCCGCCTTGCTGAGGCCGGACCGGAGAAGGCGGCCGAGGCTGCGGCGCTTCAGGCTGTTCTGGCGGCGGGCGACTGGGTTGCCATCCAGACGGGTGTTGTGGGCGTCAAGGCGGCGATGCAGTCGTACTTTGGATACGGAGGATTCACGCGGAGGCCGCTGCCGAGACCGGATGAGATCAAGGTGAAGAGCATTGCGGACGGCATGAAGGAGATGATGGACGTGGAGAATGCGCTGCCAGACGTTGCGTAAACGAACATTGAAGAGATGGGAGGGAGAGATGGAGGGGGTTTGATGACACTTGCATTTGGAAATACATTATGAGGCGTATATATATTTAACATGTATTTTTTGGGATTACTCGACAAATTGAATTGCATTCTTTTTTTTGGATATGAACCGGCTAAATTCGACTTGTTGACTTGACTTGACGTGACATGTCATGTTCACTTACACGGAGAGAGTACCTAATGAATAGTTGAAGCGCGACAAGAAATTTATACAGCACACAAATGACGAAGCAACAGATGAGGCGAAATTGTTCCCTTTTTTGGTCTTTATATTTTATTTTTCTTTATTCCTTTGGTATTTCCTTTTTCCCCCCTAAAATCCCATTTACAGGACAGCAGTGCACTCAATCTCGACATCCGTGCCCAGCGGCAGGGTCTTGACAGCCACGCATCTGTTGCATGCACAACTCGTTAGTCTAATTCTCTCATCCATTTTGACGCCCCAAGAAGACAGCTGAAATGCTGGATACACACAAATGCAATACGTGACATGGGCTGGTTTGTTCAAGCTCCTCTCCTCTTACAGACCCCCACCACAATGTTGCATCCGATGGCGGGGCGCCCTTGTAAAGACATGGAGGGGTAACAAGACCAAAAAGAGGGACGAAGAATCAAAGGTCAAGAAGATTGTGAAAGATGGTAAAAAAGAATAGAAGAAAAAAAAAGAGGAAAATACGTACGTTCGGCAGGGCTTGACATCGCCCCAGTAGGTGCTGTAGACCTCGTTCATCTTGCCAAAGTCGGCCATGTCGGCCAGGAAGACGTTGACCTTGACGACCTTCTCCAGGCTGGTGCCGGCAGCCTCGAGGATGGCAGACAGGTTCTTGATGCATTGGTGCTGTTGGGCAGAAACTCAAACTCGTCAGTTGTCTCTGTCCTTTTGCCGGCAATATTTCATCATCTCCCATTCTCAAGTTAGAAAACAACGTACGGTGTGAGCCTGGATGTCGCCGGGAATCAGGTCCGAGGTGACGGGGTCCATGGGCACGGCGCCAGAGACAAAGACCATGCCATTGGCCTTGATGGCCTGGCTGTAGATGCCGGGCAGAGGCTTGGGGGCGTTGGCGGTGAGAACGGGCTCCTTTCCAGACATTTTGGCTTGTGGTGTGAAGGTGTTTGATGAGGAGGAAAAGTGAGAAGAGGAGAAAGGGAAGATGAAGGCTGGAAAACGATGGGATAAAGATGCACGAGCTTGGAGAGCAGCTCCCCGCCGGAGAGTGGGAATAGTGGCTCTGGCTGCTGATTGGATGTATACTTGCATTGTCGTATGTAATCGAGCTCACGTTTTCTTTGGGGACGATTCAAGCCTCTTACTTACTAACAGATCTACTACTATGGAGTAACTCGTGAGCTTGTCGATAGTATGTAGCACCACAAGAGTGAGAGGGAGGGTCCCAAGCTGACTGACTCTTCCTTGCTGCCCCAAATCAAATCGACTTTCTCCTCACCCATTGGGGGCCTCATCGCCTCAGGCTGACCCCCTCCCAGACCCCCAAACACATCGATGCGCCAACGCCCTTTGACTATCACAGCTTCGGACGCAGGGATGCCATGGCTGGACCGGCCTTTGGACCACGGCTGGCTAAGCGCCAAGCAGGCCTGACCCCCGTGTAGGCAATAACCCCCGTTCGTATCTCTTCTCGATATGGGCCATAATGTAAACCCCCATGCGCGTTCCCCCACTGAATGGCGGTCAGCTTCTGTATTTGGCCGAGAATGAGCGTTTGTGGCGTCGAGATAGATTGTCGAGAATGAGAGACTTTGTCCAGGGTGTCCCACAGATTGCACAAAATCGCCCATCATGAGTGATAGTGACTTGTGTTGGTCTACATGAACAAGCAGTTTGTGCTTGGGGGACAAAGTATTGTAGTACGAGTACTCGTATATCTCGAATCTCCATGGATCCGAGCAGTCCAACGCAAAGCCCACCAACGTTCTCACCCACCATCAGCTTCTTCTATCAACTTCCCCCCCTGGCTTCCCCCACCAAGCCTAAAGCAAAATGGATCTACCATGCTAGCGGCATTGGCGATTCGAGAAGG